CTGCAGGATCTCAAATCCTCTGTAAATTGACTCACAGAAAGGGTTTTACATGCATCAAAACATATCACTAATTTCTCTGAGACGGTGCAAGCAGCCCTCTTGCTGCTCTGAGTTGCCCTAGGACATTCAGGAACCATGCACTGAATCAGGGGAGATAGGAGTGTTCTGGTATGTGCAGTTTCCTTGTAGAATCTATTGTGCAAGTGAGTTCCAAGATGACTTTGAGAGGTTGGTCGTTCCTGTTTGCAAATGCTGTGCCCTGCAGAGCTGTATTCTTCCTTCACCCAACATTAGGGAGAGTTTTGGAGAAAAAGAAGTTGCCAACCTATGAACTGGCTTTGAAATTCCTGAGCTAAAAGAAAGAGCACCATCTCCTGGCAGCTAGGAAGAGCTGGTCCTGCTGCCAGGGCTGCAGGTTCAGAGAAGCTGTGTTACAAGCAGCCTGCTGCTCTGTGCATCAAATATGCAGCATCTGGAGGCAGAATAGCCCTGTGCATCAAACCTACAACATCTGGAGGTAGGATAGCCCTGTGCATCAAACCTACAACATCTGGAGGCAGGATAGCACTGTGCATCAAACCTACAACATCTGGAGGTAGGATAGCTCAAGGGCTGACAGCTGGCTTTGGCTATCAAGAGAGGCTAATCCAGGGGAGGCTGAGAGCTGACTTACTGAAGTTAAATCACTGCAGCATGGTAATGCTGCACTTGGCAGGGAGATAGATGAGCTCTCAGAAGTTTGGGTTTCACTCGCCATTTAAATTTTCACTCAAGTGTTCAAGCAGTTGTGAGGTTTGCCTGGACACTGGGTTAGAAGTCTTGTGTTAGAAGTTCAGGGAGTAGGGCCTTGTAAAATTGAGAGTGTGGCTTCCAAGTGGTGCAAATATTCCTGGGGTACCCATGGTATTCATGATCGGGCTGGACAGGGCTCTAAGCAACCTGACTTAGCAGTAGATGTCCTTGTTCATTGCAGGGGGGTTGGACCAGATGGCCTTTAAAGGTGCCTTCTAACTCAAACAATTCTACCCAGCTGGTTTCAAGGTTTTGGATGATTTGGCATGAGGCTGGGAAATGTCTGTCCCTACTGCAAGCTGCCTTCACCCCTGCTGGGAGCAGTACCAGTCAAGGATGTCTGGGAATCTCTGCAGCATCATCAAGGTTTGAGGTTGGACTTGTAACCAAGGTTGTTACTTGTGGCTGATGTTAAAATTGCAAGGTTGGCACAGAAGAGGCAGGACTGCTTAATAGCTGCTTTTATTGTATATGGGGAAGCAAGCAGAAAGATTATATCATAGAATCATTAAGGTTGGGAAAGATCTCTAAGAACACCAAGTCCAACCATCAACCCATCCTACCATGCCCACTGACCACGTCCCTCAGTGCCACATCTCCATGTTTCTTGAGCACCTCCAGGGATGGTGACTTCCCTGGGCACCTGTGCCAGTGTCTGATAACTCTTTCTGAGAAGAAATTTTTCCACCTATCCAACCTAATGCATGTATCTGAAACATGAAAATGGAGAGGCTGGAAGCTGAGCTGCTGATTTGTAAGCACAACCTATGCAGGCCATCAGAGAGGAAGCCCCAGTGATGACTTGCTCTGGTGTCTGAGAGACCCTGCAGCATCACTTAGGCCAGTCACACAGAAGAAGTCCCCTTGTTCATGGGACTTTTTCATTGTTACCTCTGCCTTGTAAATGATCACATTTACAACCTTCATTGCATTGAGGCTGAGGTAGTGGAGCCTTTCTCCTGCTTGCTCTCAGAGTCAACTTTTCAAAAAACCTACAGGAATTTGCTGGAGGGCTCTTCTAACTCTGCTCTGCTTTCATCTGGAAAAGGTTATGGAAACCAGGGTTCCTCAAGGTGCAGTTCTTCTCCTTGGTGCAGTTCCAGGCTGTAAAAAGAGTATCATCCAATTAAAGATTAGTTCTCCTTCTCTTTGGAGAAATTAATAACTCTGAGCCAAGGCACTGACGCACAATAAATACTGAACCTCATATTGTGGGGTTGCCAGCTGTTCTACAGACCAAATTCCATGTCCTTCTGCATCCATCTGTCTGTGCCTCAGAAGGTCATCAGAGCTGTATGTGAAGGTTGAGAAAAGCAGGTTAGCATGTAACTTATTCACATGACTTCAATTGAGTGAACACCATATTCTGAAGTGATCAATTTGAAGAAGATTGAGCATGCTCCAAAAAAAAACCCCCATCATTTTCATTTAAATTAGCTCTTTTTCTTGTCTGTTATCCTCGCTTCAACTCCTCAGCTAACCTAATCCCAGCTCCTCTTCCAATGTGCTGGAGCACTGCAGCTTTCATTGATCTGAGTCTTCAGCTGCTTGTCTTAAATTAAGAGTTACTCTGTATGAACCCATCATTTCTAACTAACTGTGCTGTGTCAGTTGCTAAACTCAAACGCTGTAGGGGAGGATCTTTGGAGCATTCAGTTACTTATTCTGAGGAAAGAAAGCAATTGTTTTCCNNAAAAAAAAAAAAAAAAAAGAAGGGGGGGGAGAGGAATTTCTTTACAATTGATGAAATTGCATGCGACTTAGTGAGCTCTCAGCTGTGCTCAGAATGCTGGAATCAGACCCATTACTTCTTTGGGGGTTGCAGGAAGTGCAATGATTTCCCTAGGGCTCGTGTTACTAGCAAACACAACTGCTGCTCCCAGCTCTGAATGGCTTGGCTTTACCTGAACTGGCAGGCAGGTTTTTGGGCACATTTGAGAGACATCCAGTTTTTAAAAAACCCTTTGTAACAAGGGTAACTTCAGAGCTGATCCTGCCATCCATTACCAAAGCTATTCAAGGCTTCTCCTTCCCACGGATATTGAACTAAATAAACTTAAAATTAGGGAAGGCATTGCTTAATCACTGGGCTCTGAATGCTCCATTCTTCAGCAAAAAATCAGCTCAGCTTCTACAGGTTTCCATGTCTTTAATAACCAGCCTAATAGCAATGCATTCACGTTTCCCCACTAAGAGACACTTAGCAATGGCTTTCAGTTATTCTCTGTGGAAATACAGAGTTGCATTAAGTCCCAGTAATTAGATGATTTCAGCTGCCTTTGAGTTTTTGGTTCTGCAGTTGCCTTGTTAGTTAGGATCCCTCTGTCCTGCTGCTGCAAACCCTGCTTGCTCATGTGCACCTGGACTCGCATGGACCATTTCACCATTATCTGCAAAAACACTGCAAAGAAAAAAGAACAGGCTCGTGATCAATGAGTCCATTTGAAGTCAGCTCTTGTGGTTTCTGCTTGCTGCTGCTGCATTTTTTGTGAGCACCCAAAGCAGCCAAGGCTGCACCGCCATCCTGAGCTGATCTGTGTTGCTGATCCACTCGATATCAGTGGTTTTTTTTCACTGGGCTTTGGATCAGGCCCAGGAGGCACCTGGGAATCAGCTAATGAAAGGGCAGCTCCAAAACCCCATGATTTCAGTAGCCAAGCACAAACAATGAATTATGAAAGTAGTCGTTAGTCAGCAGTTCAACAGCCTGAAACTTGTTGGCATAAACAGTGCATCAAATAATTTCAGCTAACCAACACATCTGTGAAAATGCAAACCTGTTCATGAATAATTCTCAAAAAGTAAGCTCAGCAAGAAAAGTTTTGCAAGAAAATTAGCCTGTCCCTTTTTCACTTGCTGATCATTTTAGAATTTGCTTTTATTTTTTTTTTAATACTGCATCCAGGCTTGGGTTCTGAGCACAAGAAAGATGTAGGGCTGTTGGAGTGAGTCCAGAGAAGAGCCAGGAGAATGCTTAGAGGGCTGGAACATTTCTCCTATGAAGGCAGACTGAGAGCTGGACTTGTCCAGCCTGGAGAAGAGGAGGCTCTGAGAGACCTCGCTGCAGCCTTCCAGTACTTGGGAGAAGCTTATAAGCAAAAGGGAAGTGACTTTTTCACACATAGCACTTTCAGAATGCTTTTTCTCTGTGTTACCAAGTTTCCCTTTGTGAAAGAGTGAGTGTGCCTTTCCAGTCTGGGGAAGAGAAATTTGTGCTGCTTGCAATGAGCAATGAAAAAAAAAGGAACAAGGGAGCTGGTTGTCTGCCTTTGTGCAGGGTTTGGGCTGTGCATGTGAAATCCAGCAAGGCTGTGTGATAAAACAAAGCCTATGGTTAGATGCTGAGGAGTGCTGCATATACCTCATGGCAGTCAGACAAAAGTAATTGTGACCTGTACTTAAAGATGGTGTTGTTGTGTGTGTGCAAAGAGGAAAGAAAATAATTGCAAGCAGCTCAGGGGCATTTCCACGGATACCTTGCAGCTTCTGACATTGCAGCTGTAGCAGTGTCCCTTTAGTTAGCCTTGTGATTGGTAGCCCGGGACACTGCACGTGTGGAGCAGATCAGGAACAGCGTATCTCTTGCAGAGTGATGAGCAGAGGTTGGAGAAAGCCAGCTGGCCTCTCCAGTGCTGTGTGCACCAGCATGTAAGCAGTTAACACTAACAGTTAGGAAGCAGATCCTATGGGCATCAACTCTGTTCCTTCACATCCTGATGAACGCTTTTCTCTCCTCCTCCAGCTTCCACTGAGAGAATCTTGCAGTTCTGTTGCTGAACTGTGCTCTCTGGTGATGCAGCAGAGTGGCTCCCTTTTATAATGAATTCAGCCACATCCCCAGAAACTTAAAACGCAATAAGGAAATCAAAGGCAGTGCATGGAAATGATGCAGGGGCATGTGTAAAGGTTTACTGCTTTTATGCTGCTGTGCAACATAGATAATGAATGTGGTGTGGCTTTCTGGGCATGTGTCATGGTTTTATGGTTTTTTTATCTTTATTCCACATCATAACATCATGTAGTCTACTGGGTGTTAAAGAGTGAATGCTGCAATTCTGCGGATTGTCAGTATTTCTGGTTTCTTGGTCTCAGAAGAGAAGAATGAACTACAACTCCCAGAAGTTTGTTTTGTTGGGGTTTTTTTTGCAGAAAGGCAGAGACATGCTGGTACTTGTCTTCTCACAGTGCTGTTTTATGATTTGCTGTAGGTGTCATGGCCTCATCACACCTCTTTGACTATGGTTCCAGCTCAGCCAATGGGGCCGACAGCTCCTTCTACACCTCCCTGATCTCAGATGTTCACTACACCACTCCTCGGGACAACACCTACTTCACAGGCATTTACCAGCAGGAGAACAGCCCCATCCCCTGCTCAGGCAGCACAGAAGGCTTTAATGCACTGGGGCATCCCGTTCAAGATGTGACTGGGTTTGAGTCTCGTGGCTTGTTTAGCTTGGATTCGGGAATTGAGATGACACCTGCAGAGTCTGCTGAGGTTGACAAAACCTTAGCGGATCCCATGAAAGTGGAAGGTTATAAATACATGGACATAAGTAGACCAGAAGAAATAAAGTACCAAGAAAAACACGATCCAGACTTGGAAGATGAGAGCCCAGACCTTATTGATGAATACCGAGGAACACCCATCGGATCTGGCCATGCTGCTGAACCTCAGAGGACAACAGTTTCAGAAGCCACGAAGGTTCCCAAAGAGCAAGACCCACTTGAAGACAAACGGTTTAGAGACCAGCACAACGCTTCTGTGGTGACAGCCCCTGTCAAGATCACACTAACCGAGACCCCTGGGGCCAGAGAGGCCACCAGCAAAGAGGCGAGTCTCACACAGCCCAAATCTGGCTTGAAGCCGAGCCACGAGGTGGTACCCACAGTGACAGTGTCAGAGCCAGAAGATGACAGCCCAGGCTCTGTCACACCCCCATCCTCTGGCACAGGTAACGCTGTCACCATTGTCTTTTTTGCTGTTCAGCCTATGGTTGGGGCCCTGGGCAGCCTGGTTTAGTATTAAATGGGGAGGTTGGTGGCCCTGCATGTGGCGGGGGGGTTGAAGATTCATGATCCTTGAGGTCCCTTCCAACCCTGGCCATTCTGTGATTCTGTGATTCTGTGGTTGTAATGTTAGGTCTGCATTTGTGCAGTCACTGTGGAATCACTGATGATAACAGATGTTCATGGTGGAGGTGTTTCTGCTCTGCTCTTGTAGCTTTTCACATTGCTGGTGGTCAGCAGGATGCCATCAGGTGTATTGTCAATGATTTTGGGATCTGTTAGTGATCCCAGTTGACCACACTACCCACAGGGATGCAGGACGAGGGTGCTCTGAAGGGCTGAGTGGTTTTTTTTTCAGATTTTAATGGCTGTTTAATGCCTTTTTGCCCTTGCAAAACATTGGGTTGAATTGTTAAAGATGAGCACTGTTTTCAGGTGAAAGTGCTGCTCTTGGAAAAATGCTGACGAGGGAAATGCTGTCATCTCATTTACAGAGGGACAAAGGGCCAATTTCTGATAAAGACTGCTGATTGCTGGCTTCTACTGCTGGGAGTGGGGGGTGGAAGGCACCAAAATCCCTCCCTATCATCTGATTACTGCAGTGTTGTATAATGTCTGTTCCTCATTTCCTACATTATACACTGCTGTTCACCGTTAAAACATGGAAGCAGTGTGGCATTTTAAAAAGAAATGAGATTCTCTGTCAGGAAACAGAATTTTCAAACTTGAAATTAAATTTCAGCATCCTGGATCAATACCCTGTTCACTGAAATTGAGTGTCCTCATGCCAGAATGTTCATTTCTTTGATGAATTCTAGGAGCATGTAAAAGTCTGGTGGAATTCCCATAAAATGGCAGTTTGGGACTTTCACCCTCACTGACACACTGAGTGAAACTCCTCCAGAACTGTGCATGCATTTGTGCACCCTTCAGAAAAGAAGAGAAAAGGAGTCCCCATCAACTCTTAACAGCCTGTGTTAGTTAGAATCTTTAGAAAATAAATTAGCTTTAAAGCATCCCATTTTTCTTCTTTTATTTGGCTGGGTGATATCACACGCTACATCTGCAGCATTCAAGTTTTTATCGATTTACACTTTTTGTACTAAGAAGTAATTAAGAACTTCAGGCACTAATTATTATTTATGCCATCCTTGGCGTCTGTGAAAGGACTGAATGGCTCTAGATAACTGAATCTCATCGCAGCAGGTGAACAGTGTGTGGCTGAGCCTTGTAGTGGCTGAACCTTGTAGTTGCTGAGCCTTATAGTGGGGGTTGTAATTCTTGCCCATCTCTCAGCAGGACACAGTAGAATTGTAGAATCATAGAATCCCCACGGTTGGAAAAGACGTCCAAGATCATCCAGTCCAACCATCCACCTACCACCAATATTCCCCTGCTAAACCACATCCCCTAGTACAACATTAAAGGCCAGGCTGGACGGGTCTCTGAGCACCTGCTCAAGCTGTAGGTGTCCCTCATTGAAGTGAGCTGGACAAGATGACCTTTAAAGGGCCCTTCCAACTCAAACAATTCTATCATTCTGTGATCTCTGCATCAGACCTGTGAAATGTGAGGGGAAAGCTGCCTTGTGGCAAATGGTAGATGGATGAACTATGGAAGACTGGTGCATTAATTACCACTAATGAAACAGTTAGAAGGCTCAGGATCCAATGGGAAAAGCACCCTATGGTTCAGTTGGCCTATCTGGCCTTGTACAAAGTTTGTGGTCTGGGATTCCTGAAGCTTGGTGAATAATCAGTGGAAACTTCTTTGAGACAGCTGCTCATGCACCTTCTGCTGCAGCCCTCACATCTCATGAACACTCTGTGCAATTTTACTTTCTTTTTTATTTCATGATGAAACCCCTTTTGACAAGGAGGTCTTCAGGAAAGCAGAACAGGTGCAAGGCCTGTATGGGATTTCCTTCTCATATGGGATGTGGGCTTTTCCTCGACCCTGGTTGACCAACCAACCTTTTTGTTTTCTTATTTTCACCAAATATTTATTATTCCCTCCACAGTAAGACAGAATATGCAGAGAAATGTTATTTAGCCTCAGAGAAAATTTTGTTTCAAATCTTTGGTGACAAGTTGGTCTTTCATTGTTGTGGCAAACAAGAGTAATATTAGTGAATTATAGTGGGAAAATGGATCTCATTCTCAAACATAGCTGAGATAAAAGCAAACAGAGAATTCACTGTCACTTCCCCACACCCCAGAAAGTCAACCTCAGAAATTAGCTTTACATTACTAGTGACTACACGTAGGCTATTACAATCATGACTGTCAGAAAACCACTGGTTCTCTGACCACCAGGTTCCTCATGACTGGTTATTTTCCTGCTACAAATCATGCTGCTGAGCCACTGACCAAGCTCAGATCACCATCACCTTTGTGCCTCAGCTTTTCCCCTGCTAACTGATGATAATGATACTGCTTTTATAATATAGGAAATAACCTATGAGGACAAGCTGTGATAACTGTTAGTCACACCAGATGAAGTGACTTTCTGCCTGTTACCAGCTCTTCTAGAGGGATCTATGCTAGTGTCAAATCTATTGTTTGTTGCCTAAGCAGCCAGAAAATACCACTTTTTATTAATTTTTTTCCCTTTTTTTTTTCCCTATCTTTCTGTGCACAGAACCATCAGGCTCAGAATCACAGGGCAAAGGCAGCCTGTCAGAGGACGAGCTCATCAGTGCCATTAAGGAAGCAAAAGGCTTCTCCTTCGAGACCTCTGAGGTGCAGCAGTCACCAGCTGTTTCTGCAGAGAAACAGGAGCAGAAAATGAAGCCTGGGCACCCTGCTGTCCCCTCACCCCTGGATAACGAAGCCAGCAGTGCGGAGTCTGGGGACTCAGAGATCGAACTGGTCTCGGAGGACCCGCTGGCTGCTGAGGAGGTGCTGCACTCCAACTACATGACCTTCAGCCACATCGGAGGGCCCCCTCCCTCACCTGCCTCCCCATCCATCCAGTACAGCATCCTGCGGGAGGAGCGGGAGGCTGAGCTCGATAGCGAGCTCATAATTGAATCCTGTGATGCCTCATCGGCCTCTGAAGAGAGCCCAAAGAGGGAGCAGGACTCCCCTCTCATGAAGCCCATGGTGATGGACATTATCAAGGAAGAGAATAGCTCACGTGCCAGCGCCTTGGACTATGAAGCTAGTAAAGCAACGGAGAGCAGGATGAACAGGGAGAACCTGGCAGACTCTGCATCCTACCTGAAATGCTCTTCTGTTGCCCAGAAAGTAAGCTCTGAGCCTCCAACATCTGCTGTCAGCACTGAGGAGCTGAAGGAAAGAATAATCCTGAAGAAACCCATTGAAGAAACTGTTGTTAACCAAAGTAAAGTGTCTTCCAAGGACTCTGGAAAAAGAAGCCCTTTGTCTTTGCCTCTACTGCTGTTTTTAAATAAGCAGAAAGGTAAATGTAGATGTTTTTGTAGACTTTTGCAATGCTACTGAGAATTATAAGTTGGAAAAGACCTTTAAGATCACCAAGTCCAACCCCTGTCCATTCCCACCATGCCTACTGATCATGTCTCTCAGTGCTACATCTATCCTTTTCTTTAACACTTCCAGGGGCAGTGACTCCACCACATCCCTGGGCAGCCTTCCAACACATTACCTCTCTTTCTGAGAAGAAACTTTTCCTAATATCCAGCCTGAACCTTCCCTGACACAGCTCTGTGCCATTACCTCTTGTCCTATCACTGTTACCTGGGAAGAAGGGGGAGGAGAGGGAAGTGCCTGCTTCTTGCAGGGAAGATGTTTGCACTGTTGACCAGGGGATGCTACTGGTATTGGGAAGCCACAACTTGGAGCTGGTTATGGCCATGACAAAGCAGGTGTCCCCAGATTTGCAGCAGAAAGGAACATTGGGGCTGCTCAAGCCTGCTGTGCCCCTGGCAGAGGCTGGCATGCAGAGAGCTGCTGCTTCCCTACAAAACGCTGGATAGAATTCAGGCAACCCCCGTCTTCTTTTTTATCCATCCATATTTGTGCAGTCCACTGACCACATGATGGCCTGGAGATGTGGCAGGCACATTTGTGGCACACTTACATCTGATTTATCTAGTACTGTGAACCTAAGCATGCAGGTATGGTAAGGAAGCAGCCTGAACATGCACAATGTGCTGAGGAGCCTACTGCAAGATCTGCAGAGCAATTAGATATGTTAATACTGATATTCTTAGTGATAATGAATTAATAACATTAATAGGCTGAATAACAAACATCATTATTGCTCCTTAGTATGTTTTCCTGCCAGATCTCAGAACACACAGCATCGCACTGTGTATCTCTTAGTTCTTTTACTGCTCAGTGAGCTCCATCTTTTCTCTACCCATTCCCAAATTCCCCTTTTGCAAGGCTTTGCCCAGGCCCTGCCCAAGCCCTAAAAACTGCAGGTCTGATTGAATTTCCCTTGCACAGCCTTCCTGCAGTATGTAGGTATGGTTTCTGCGAGGTTGCTGATTCCTGCAATCACATCAAATGCTCAAAATTGCACTAGGCAGACAACTCAAGATCTTAGATTTTGGGAAATACCTGGGCAATACAGAAGGACAGCTAATTTCACTGTACTGTGATTTGGAGTTTTCAGGCCCCAATACAATTTGCAGGGACATGCAAACAGATGCTAACAGATCAGCTTTCCTGGAAAATTCCTCATGCTGCCTTGCAACCTCTCTTTAGAAGAGGTCTGTTTCCTCAGAGAGATTTTTTCTTCCAGGCCATACAAGTGTCTTTGAACTCAAAGCATAACCCAACACAAAATCCAAAATGCCAGACTTCATCTGGCTGTAGCTTTGCTGAACTCAGTGCACCTACACAGAGTACAAATCCAGTTTCTCTTGATCTTATTTGGAGTTCTTGGCCTAACTTTTCCCTCTACTTTCTGCCACTGCTTAAACTGATGCTAGCAGGGGCTTGTTCCCATGTGGCAGTCATAGAAGATCCCCGTATGCATGACTTTTGCCCGTATCACAGCATGTCCGTGTTTCCTATCTGCATTCCCATAGGTCTGTACTGGCAGGAAGGTTTCCTCCAGGACAGATATGAGACAGCTAATTACTGCTTGGTGATGTGCAAGTACTGTATTTTAGCTTCTGCTTTTCTCCCTTATGATGCTCCAGTGTCAGAGACAAGGAGAACAAAAACATAAAGTCTACCAAGAAGATTATTGCTAAATCTTGTGTTATTTTTTAAAGCAGGTTTCAGGGTAGGGAGAAGTGGGCTCAAGGTATGAAATGTGAATGGTTGCAGTGTCTGGTTTACTCTGCCTTCCTGTCATGGTATTTGCTCTACAGGTTGCTATGTCTGAGTACCAATTAAATTTATGTGTTGAATATTGAATATGGGACTCTCCTGACCTGGGAAAGAAGAATTTACCTCCTCGCTTATGAACTGACATGAATTCACATGAAACACTTAAGCTGTTTTTCAGAGATGAACTGAAGGGGCACATTAAATGGCCTGGTGGAACCAGAGCATTCCCCTTGTGTCTCCCCAGGCTGCGTGACCTTGAAGTGGGATTGGCTGGCAGAAAAATGGCAAGGCAGAGCACATCCAAGGGGACAGTGGCTGCCTTTGTAGCACTGACCTGAGATCTTGGCAGAATTTTTCAACAGAGGCATTAAATACATGCCATATGCCAACTTGGGTTCACACACCAGGCATTTGGCATGGACCTAGTGGTAAGAACAGAGGGATATGGCACAGTGCCACTCAATGGAAGTGCAGCAAAATGATGTCATTCAAATCATTAAGAGAATTATCTTAATTATAAATGTCTATCATAAAGAGGATACCAACATACAACACTATTTAGACAGAAGACACAACCTTCCAGAGTTTATGTTACCTCCTTGTTTCATGTCACCTTGGTAGTGCTGGTCCACCACCACATGCCACCATTAAGACAGAATGATTTTCATAATGTTTCTGGAGTGCATGTGGGGACTGACCTCACTATGGCCATCACAAAGTTCCACCTGAGCTCAGGGCAGTGCAAGCTCATTTCTGCATTTCTGCATTTCTGAAGCTTGATGGAAAATTAGTGGATCGAATGAAGCTGTTAGACTCACACAGCTGTGCTTTTGACACCCAATTTTAGGTATTTCTATTGCCTTTGGCCTGCTCACAGCCAGGTATATGAAATTTAAAAATAGCCACCAGCTTCACGTCTAAGTATGAACTATTTTGCAGTGTGATACTGTAATTCCATCAAGGCAGAGAGTAGCAAATGGATGTGAGGTTTGCACAGTGGTAACTCAATGTCTCTGCTTAATGTCTGTTGCCATCCAGTGGCAATAACAAAAATGGGCAGTGATTTCCTACCTCCTTTTTACTGAAACTCAGTATCACAGATTGTAATAACAGAGCTATCCCCATGCTGTTAGCTGCTAGTCAGGCACATTTGCTTTTTTGCACAGTCAGAAAGGTTGCAGTGCTGGACACAGCCCATTCCATCAGGATTTGGAGCCCTTCTGGTATAGTTTTGTGGGGAGGTGGTTGCCAACACACTTTCATTTTTGTTTTAAATATTCAAACACAGAGAAGGAAGATCAGATGTATTTGTCTTTTCCAGTAGCCAGAGCAAGAAGTGTGGATGCTCTATGTTTATTTTCCTTTTTCGTTTTATGGCAGGAGAAGGGGAACTCCAGCCTGGGGCTGCAGTTATGCTGCAGCCCACACACTAGATGGCACAGCTGGTAGGACCCAGGCTCCAAGGAAGGCCTTCAGCCAAGAAACAGAGTCTGATAAAATTCAGCAACTAAAATGCTGCCTTCTACACTGCAGCTGATGCCACCCTACTATAACACATCCTGATTTCTCTGCCTTTTGAAGGACCACTGTAATATTAATCTGGATAGATACCTACAAGGGTGACCCCTCATGCCCTCCTGTGTTGTCGAGAGCTGTCACACTGTGGACATGCACAAAGCCACATGTTTTTTTTTCCCCTTAATTTCTGTGTCCACCTCTGCTTCTTGCTGCAGAGAAGCTGATTTTGCAGTTTCTCAAGAGATTGTTTCCCAGCAGAGATCTGCGAGAGTCTTCATGTTATTGTGAATGGTTTTTGTTCATCAGAATGTAGTCTGCATTGTGTTAGCACATCTCTGCTGTTGAGAGAGTTGCTGGTGAGGCATTTTCCTATGGGAAGGGGATGCTTGGTAGGGTGATTTAGTAATACGAGGCTTGCTTCTCATCTGTGTGCTTCACTAGGCTGGCTCTGCAATCAGCATCAATCCAGGCCACGGCTTAAGCATACGGTAATGTTAGTTTAATATTGTAGTGCCATCTGCTGTAAGTGCTTCCACACTCCAGCCCATCTGTTTTGCCTGTTTCAGTTTGCTTTGTATGGGACTCTGATAGCTTTGCATCCTTTGGAAAATCCCCACTTGGAAAAGGTATGGAAAGAGGGGTGTCCTGCCTCGAGCCAGAGCATTTTCACATGGAAAACCTTCACTTAGAGAGGTAAAGGCATGAATCCAGGCTTGGCTTTGATTCAAAATCTTGGGTTACATTGGTGAACCTGTTTGTTCTTGCTTCCTCCATAGAATAATTTAGGTGGGAAAGGCACTATGGAGGTCTCTACTCCAATCTCTTGCTTGAAGCAGCATGATCACATTGCTCAGGGCCTTGTCTATCAGCCCTTCTGGGCAAATGCAGATATTTGGGATTAGATGAGACCTATGAATCTAGGTTGGTCCTGGAACACTGCCTGGGCTTCAGGAGCTCTGAGCATGCTGCAGGGTGGGATAGAGGGGAGATACCATGGCACACGGCTTCATGCAGGGGCTTCACTGAGACCCATCTGGCCCTCAGCCTAGATCAGCGTTGGAGCTCCTGGCAGATGCTTGCAGCTCATTTGGAGAGGACTCTGTTGGCAGATTCTCCACCTGCTCCCAGGCATCTGCTGAAAACAGTTGTCATTCCTTCTTCATCCTTCTTTACTTCAGGCTAAACAATTCCAACTCCTTCGGTTTTATCTCTCTAGTCATGTTTTTGAGCCATGGGAGCCATTTTGTTGTTCTCTTGGCCCATTTTTGCCAAAAGTGAGATCTTTCTGGAAGCAAACTAAAGAGGGTGGAGGCCATCCCTACACTGATAATGGGTTGCATGCCAGTTCTACAGGCTAGGGCTGGGCTTGTAGGTCCCGCTGCAACAGCCCAACATTGAGATCCATGTTTGCAGGAGTTGTCTTTTCCAGTTTGCTTGGAAATGTCTCTTCAGACTTCTATTGCATTCTGTGCCAGTCCATCTTTCCCAGCTTGGACTCATTTGAGTCTCTTAATTTTCTGCATGGAAACAATTGTGCAGGAATTTGTGAAAGGGCTGGAGAAGTCCAGTGGAAAAAGGACATTAATCTTGGAGCATTTCTAAGAAATGGAGAACTTGAATGACTTCCTGCTCAGCCTG